TTTTTGTGCTTAGCTGTGATTTGGTCACAGCTAATCACATGACATGTGCTTGTGATTAGCTGTGACCATTCACAGCTAGGCACTAGTATACAATGGATGGCATCATGAATGAAGCCATCCATTGTATACAACTGTCATGTGACCTGCTGTGATTGGTCACAGCAGGTCACATGGTACCAGCAACGGGAGCCGGTACTCGGATCTGTCATCGGCCGTGTCCGAGGTACACGGCCGGTGACAGATCGCACTGCTGTGCCGCTCTGCATTAGCGCAAACTGCGCATGTGCGGGAGCACGCCAAATGGCGTGCACCCGGAGTGCAGAGACACATTTGAAGCCGCCAAACGGCCATTGGCCGGGCGGCTAATGGTTAAAGGTTACCTATAGAAAATATAGGGTACCAAAATGTGTCCCCATTTTACGAGTGTAAGCAATTTTACTGTTTTTTTTGTGTGTTTGGTATCTCTTTACTCAGCACAACCTCATCCTGTATATTTTACCAAAAACTGGGTAATATATTGCGTTTATGTGCCCCAACGCTAGTATTTTCTTTAACAGAAATTTTGTGTTTCATAAGCCACTGTGCTACTATTGTTACATAGCTGAAAAAAGACAAAAGTTCAACCATTAAAAAAAAAAAAAAAAAGGTTGTAATCCTACACCCACAGTCGATCCAGAGAAAGGCAAAAAACAACCCAGCAAAGCATGATTCAATTTGCTCCTGAAGGGAAAAAAATTCCTTCCTGATCGCCCTTGATTTTTAGCCTTTTAAACTTGTTGCCCATGGGAATATATTTTGCAGTGTTCACATATAGTATTTTTGAAGAAATCCCATTTCTGTGTTGTGTTCATCGATGCCAATATTCCCTCCCAGTCTAAGTCTAGGAGAGCAGCTCTCAGCCTTGGAAAAGTAGCTCCCTTAAAATTGAGCGTTTTTATTTTTCCCGTATGTGTTTGCTGTTTACAGCTAACAATAAATTAAATCATGTCATGGTCACTGCTACCCAGACTCTGGTTTAAATACTCCTCCAACCTTCCCATAAACCTCTCCCCCAGCACAGCAGAGCCCCTTCCATGTAGGTGCAAACCATCTCTAACATATAGGTTGCACTCCAATGAAAAGTCAGCCCAGTGCTCTAGAAACCCAAATCCTTCCCTCTTACACCAAGTCTTCAGCCATGCATTGAGTTCTCTAATCTCCCCGTCTTTCCTGAGTTGCACATGGTACAGGTAATATTTCAGAGATCACCTTGGAGGTCCTTCCCTTCAACTTGCAGCTTAGTTCTTAAATTGATTCTTAAAGGAGCCTCCATCTTCCATGTATTCTGTCATTGGTTCCAACATGTACCAAGACAGCTGGGTCATGCCCAGCCCCTCCCAGTAATTTATCAACCCGGTCCACCACATGCCGAACCCTGGCACCAGGGAGACAGCAAACCATTTGGCTGAGGCGATCCTGGCAACAAATTATTCTATCAGTCCTTCTGATTATAGAATCCCCTACTACCACCAGCTGTCTAGGCCTTCCCGCACTACCCTCACCACCCCATATGGTCTGCTCTCCCGGTTGTTAGGGATATCAGTGACATCCAGGGCTGCCACCCCTGAGCCTGCCACCCCCACATCTTCACCCAATTTGGCAAATCTGTTTGGGTGGACAAACCCAGGGCCAGCCTTCCTTTTCTGTGAGCCCCTACCACTCCCTCTCGTTACAGTAACCCATCTTCCTACTTGATAATCCTGATTAGCCCCTCCACCCTCCACATCAATCCCATTAGCTACCTGCTCAGAGAGCAGAAGACCCCTTTCAAGGTTGTCGGTTCTGCCCAGTGTTGCAACTTGCTCCTCCAGATCTCTAACGCGAGATTCCAGAAGGGCAACCCACTCACATCTGTCTCAGCGGTATCCATCCTGGAGCTGTTGATCCATTGCTGCATACATGCCGCACAATGTGCACTGCACAAAACCTTCCACCCTGCTAGCACTCATATCCCAGTTACAATATTAACAGGAAATATCAGTTGTCACCTACAGGTTAGTAGTCTCCTGTTATAATCTCCTGTTTTCCACTCCGGTTTTTTAACTCCACTTATCAAATGTCCACTTAGTCAAAGGTCCAGTGAGCAAAATACAGGCAAGCTCAGAGTGAGCTCTACAGCAAGTTATATAGGACCTGTATCACCTGTGACCAATTAATCCCTCCCATTAATTAGCAGACTGAAGGAAAACAAGGAAAGGAAGAAAAAAAATTATATTTAAAAAGTGACCAAAAAAGTGATTTAAAAAAGTAAAAAAACTTTTAGCAAGACCCTGCTGACATAAAAAACTGACAATACCACTGTTTTATTCTCTAGGATGTCTGCTTTCAGAAAATGTTTGGGGGTTTATGTAATCTTCAGGCCTAAAATTGATTTTTTTAATCGTGTGCAAAAAATGCAAAAACAGTGAAAAGGTCAATTAACCTCCCTGGCGGTATGATTATTTCAGATTTTTGGTGCTGAAAAAGCGGTACCATTTTTTTGCATGGAAATATGTAGTTTTTTTTATTGTAGGCTGTAATTTTTAGGAATAACTCACTGAAATCTGTCCAAACAAGAGTCTAGTAAACATCCCGGGTATGATAAAATTTGAAACACAAAATTATAAATTATAATTTAATACATAATCATAAAAAATAATAATATAATAATAAATTTATTTCAATAATATAATCAAACCAAAAACACTGAAATTTGAAATATAGCGCCAAGTTCGCACATCACTGAGCAAAGTCGCAAAATCGTTTTCAGTGTCTGATGATGAATTTCCCCCATGAATCATTATCACTCAATTCTGCAAGTGGTTCTGATTTACTATCGCTGTTCTCTAGCCGGTCTAAAACCGCTTTTGACCTAAAGGGACGCTTTTTGGACGCCATGGACGTTTCTCAGTTTCCAGGCAGAAAGAACAGTAAAAATGCAGGCAGGGCGCAGGACAAAGCACTAGGGACAAAATGTATGTGAAATGGTTGGAAACAGCAATGTTTTACTATGTAAAATTCGTTTTGAAAAAAATGACATTTTTAAAAAATTTTCAAATTTCCCGCCGCTGCCGGCGGCGCCCGTACGTCCCGACGTCACAGGGACCGGAACACAAAGGCCGGATGCCGACATCGGCCGGAGGAGATGGCCGGGGACGCTGCAGGGGACACATCGTGGGAGCGAAGGACAAGGTAAGCTCTGCAGGGACTCCCTATGCAGCGCCGCATGGTAAGCTCGAGTGTAGCTCGGGGTTACCGCTTTTGGTACTGACATTTTACCCCGAGCTACACTCGGGAATACCGCCAGGGAGGTTAAACATTCAGTTAAATACATTCCAGGGGAATCAAAAAAGAAGGTGCGCAATGTGTTACAGTTCATTTAGAAAGCATCCACAGCCAGAAAAGCCTGGTCGCTGTCAGCATGTGGTAGAGAAGGAATCGTTCTTTCTGTGGAGGCAGTGGTCTCTCTGCAGAGGTCCAGCATGCCTCCTGCTGTCTAGGGCTATTTTCAGAAAGCCCCTCCCACCAGCCATGATCTGTGTGCATTTCATAGTGAAGCACAAGGATGACAATGCTTGGTATAAAATAAGGTATGAAACGAAAATGGAAAGGAAGAACCAGGGCAAAATATAAACAGATTAAACTGAAGCTTTAAAGTGACTTTTGTTAAAAAAAAAAAAAAAAAAAAAAAAAAAAAAAAAAAAAAGCTGCTAGCAGGTCTACACTACATCTACACTTGAATGCCAGGCCATTCTGAATGGGCACAGCTCCAACACCAAGTTCATATTGGAGCTTACTTGCTCCCTGCTCATTTCTATTGGTCAATTCCCATGATGGTCTGTCTCTCTGTCCAATAGGACATATATGGAGGCTGGCAAGTCCAGTCACCACCAGTAAATGTTGATTCTATACCAATTCATAATGGATCAGAATGAAGTCCTAAATGCTGCAGACGTGCACATATCTACAAGTGGGTGCACCTTAAAATAAACAGTTACAGTATAAAGTCATTTTTAAAAAAAATTTAGAATAGTTTTTGACACATTATTTTAAAAAAATTATAGCAAATTAACAGACAGATGACAGCCGCAGAGGGATGGGAGGAGGGGGGGGTCCAACCTTGGATTGCAGGGATTCATGCTGGGATCTGTAGTCTTTCACGTTTGGGGGATGTGACCCCCCCAAAAGTGAAGAACTACAGATCCCAGCATGAACCTTGGACGAGGATGTGACACCCCCCCCTCTGTACCACAACTAGTGCAGTACTACAAGTCTCAGCATGAACCCCTGAGATCTAACAGGTCCCATCTTAGGTCTCAAGGGTTCATGCTGGGACTTGTAGTATCACTTTTTTTTTGGGGGGGTGGGGGAAAGAGGTCATGCTGGATTTGTAGTCCATCACTTTTGGTTTTGGTGGAGGAAGGGGGGCAGGCCACCAGATGGAACCACATGACATGTCAAGGGGGAGCCAAGCACAGACCCATATAGAAAGGATGGCAGCTGAGCTGTTGCTGGATTAGGACCATACTGGGACATGTAGTCCATCACTTTTGGCAAGGGGGGGGTAGATTTCAAGCGGTTCATGCTGGGAATTGTAGTCCATCACTTGTTAGGGATGTGACCCCCCCCCTCCATAGTGAAGGACTGCAAGTCCCAGAATGAACCCCACAGAGGTTAGGACAGGATCCCCCTCCCCAACTAGTAAAGGACCCTTGAGAGGTGTGACACCCCCCCCCGAAAAGAAAAAAAAAAATCAGTAGCTGGACTTTGACTGTATATTTTTTGCTTTTTTAATATAATACGGTTTTCAAAAATGTTAATGTGTTATTCTTTGGGGGGCGGGGGAAGGGGCTGCAAGTAGCTGGCCTTGCCTAGAGTGCAAAATAGTCTCATCACCGGCCCTGCTTCCAACGCGTAGCGATAAGCGGTTAAGATCACACATATGAGCAAGCGGTTAGGATACAACATAGCCTCCTGCGTACCTTTTCTCTTTCAGCATCCTCAGGAAGGGTTCCACCTTTAATAGCCACGAAAACAAACCCGGATCGGAATTTTAGGTTACGGATTTCTTTGCTACCAAGGTCTTCAAATGCTTTCTTCGCAGCATCGTTTAACCTGTGAGCACAGATATGTGTTAGTAAAGGAAACAAGTACGCACACTGACAGGGGTGGACTGACCATTTGGAAACTCGGGCACTGCCTGAGGGCCCGGGGTCAGTAGGGGGCCCCATGAGATGCCCCTGGTACCTTTTTCATAGACTTTTTTGAGTTTGGGCAAGGACACAAGGGCCCCATGATCCCCTATTGCCCGGGGGCCCCATGAGTTGTCAGTCCGCCCCTGCACACTGCTTAAGGATAACATGTTAATTGTTTTTGGGATAGATGGCGGTTTAGACTCCGCTGTCAATTTTAATTTTTTTAAAGAAACATAAAAGTGATGCCAGTAAAAAGACCAAAGTGGTCCATCAGGTTTGCTGGAGTCAGAGTCTCAAGGAGCGTATTATCTAAGGTCCCTAACTCACATTCATACATATTTGGGCCGGTTTAACCAGGAGCCAATTAACCTACCAGCATGTCTTTGGAGTGTGGGAGGAAACCAGAGTACCTCGAGGAAACCCACATAGGCACAGGGAGAACATGAAAACTCCATGGTAGTGCCATGGTAGGGATTCAAACAGATGACTCTAGTGCTGCCAGGCAGAAGTGCTAACCACTTAGCCACTGTGCTGCCCACCATAGTAAAATAATTTTTGCAGCTAGGCCAAGATCCTCTAATAACAGTGAGAATATGGGTGATGCAGTAACCTAGTCAAGTGCTGGAAGGAACTGGGAGGGATTCAAGCCCCCAGTACATCCATTTTACGTACACTAATCCTTTAAAGTCAACCTATACCTGAACATTAAAAATCAACCACACTTTGGCTGGTATGGATAAATTACATTATTACATTACATTACATTGAGTTTATATAGCGCCAAAGGGTTTGCTCAGCGCTGTACAATAGGGGGGGGGACAATACATGAAACATTACAGCAACTACGAACATCACACGAGGGGTAAGAGGGCCCTACTCTTTCGAGCTTACAATCTAGGAGGGAGGGGGTAGTGGTACAGGAGGAAGTGGCTGTGGGGGATGGAGTGGTAGGAGGAATGAAGGAGAGCAGCAGTTAGGTGAGGGTGGGGTAGGCTTCCCTGAAGAGGTGGGTTTTAAACGATGAGATGCACTACCTTTCCTGGAGAAAATGCTGCTCCAGGTTCCCTTTAGTGCTGGCCACATATCCAAAAGCCTAAACTCTTCTACTGAAGGAGAAAATCAGATTTCACACAGGTTTTTTCTCCCCCTTGGCAGGAACCAAGTGTCTAAGCTCCTAAGCCTTATCATGTGTGATCAATAACTGAATGTACTGTAGGTCCACTGTGAATAGATCAACACTACTTCATCCTCCTTCAATGTACTCAAGTAATCCACACTTTTACAACACATATTTTGAACAAGTGAAATCCCGTGTGGAGCTCATCCAGAGGTATACTTAATTCAAATTTTAGAAACATAGCAGTTATCCTTACTTCGAAAATGCATCATCATGGCTGGCGACCAGGACAATAAACTTATCAGGGACCTTGTTCATAAACTCGACCATCGGTCCTGAGAAATCTGTCAAAAAAGCACAACATCCAGGTGAATTATACCGTGTTTTTTCAGGACAAATTGGGCTTTCATTTGGTGGTAAATAGTAATGGATATCTCCTGATTTTTTTTTTTATTATTAAAAGGAAAACTGGCCCAAAAAAGAAAAACAAATCTTTTTTTAAATTTAGCTGTGTGTTTCCTGTCACTACCATAACCTATCACCAAAGAACCCAAAATAATTTTTCCAGCTCTTGATGATCGCAGTGATACCATATATGTGTGTTATTTGTTGGTTGTACCTGTGCTACAGCCCAAAAAACAATAGTGCGCATTTTGTTTTTGTTTTTTTTACCTAACACACTGACACCAATTTAAACAAAATAAATAAATGTAAAAAATCCTGACCTTTTACCTTTGACCCTGACCCAAACACTAACCCTGGCACTGAACTAGATCAAACCTTGATCTAGGCATTTTTTTCTTTGTTTTTTTTTTTTTATTTTATATTTGAATATTTAATTTATTTATTTTACAGTTTTTTTTTCCTCTCTCTGCAAGGAGAAAGAGAGAGATACAATGCATCTCTCCCCTTCATTCAGAGAGAAAAAAAAAAACAAGGGAGGTGGGCTTCACAGTGACTGATCACTGTGACAGCCAATCATAGGCAATCACAGCGATCATGTGACCCGGAATCGATCTAACGATTGGTACCCGGGGCTCTCAGTAACACCCCGGTCTCTGTGCTGGGAGCGTGCTGTGTGGCGCGCTCTCAGCACAGAGACAAGTGCGCAAATATGCGGCCCCACAGAAAAAAGCCCGCATATTTTTGTGACGGCGGTGTCAAGGGGTTAATGAATGCACCAAGGAAATCAAATGTGAATTTTTGTGGTATGTTTTTATATGACAATAGGGCAGATATACTGTGCACTTTGCAAGCACATTTACTCTAGAGCTTAGTAAATAAGGGAAGCTTTGCTGATTTTCACCATCCAATCATGTGCGAGCAAAAATGCTTTAATTTTTTTCTTTGTGTGTGACTGGGCATTCTTTGTAAAGTGAAGCTTTACCTCATTTACTAAGCTCTGGAGCAACCGCGCTTTGAAGAGTGCACAGTCTGTTTGCCTTTAGTACATCTTGTAGGTGAAAAAGCAAAATTGGAGCCGCTCAACTTCCAAAAGGCCAAAAATGATGTTATCTGATACAAGAAAACTCCACCTGCTCCTCTTACGTGTTTCCCTGTATCAGGAACGTATTCATACAGCTCTGTATCTAAGCTTCCAATGCAGTGAAATGCATAAGAAGAGTAGTTAGACTTTCCCTGTATTGGATGAAATCAATAAACATATGAGGGCTATATAGAAAGTAATGCAAAAGTGGGCATAAAACTTACAGTAATTACTTTACAAAGGTTGTTTCAAATTTCACATGTCGCTAAAGTAACTTTTAGTAGCGGGTCTTCTCTACTTCTTTTTCAAAGCAGGTAAATAATGGTTTCCAAGCAGTGTGTCACAGTCTCTTTAATACCAATGCAAATGTCTATCAATACCAAGCTTTGTCCAGTAGATGTCGCTGTGCAATCATACTGATAGGACATATCACAAAGCTTCGTTTACTTTTTGTTTCTCAGAGCACAGCCCTCACTGTACATCTACATTACCCCGTAACTGTACTTAAAGTAGAAATGTAAGCAAAACTTTTATTTCATTTTGGATAGTGCAAGGGAGGGTTATAACCCCTCCACTGGCTTCTCACTGCCCAACGGATAAAATTCAAAATACTAACACTGACGTATATAGCTGTTCATAATACTGCCCCAAACTACATCACCGATCTGGTATCCATATACCACCCAAAACGTACTCTCCGCTCCTCACAAGACCTCCTACTCTCTAGTTCCCTCGTCTCCTCCTCCCATGCCCGTCTCCAGGACTTCTCCAGGGCTTCCCCATCCTCTGGAACTCCCTACCCCAATCCATCAGACTATCACCTGCTCTCCTCACCTTTAGGCGCACTCTGAAAACCTCTCTCTTCAGGGAAGCCTACCCCACCCTCAGCTAATTAATGAACTCTTCCTACCACTCCATCCCCCACAGCTATTTCCTCCTGTACCACTATCCCCTCCCTCCTAGATTGTAAGCTCCAAGGAGCAGGGCCCTCGAACCCCTCGTGTATTGACTTGTATTGTTACTGTACTGTTTCGTGTGCTGTCTCCCATCATAATGTACAGCACTGAGAAAACTGTTGGCGGTTTATAAATCCTGTATTATAATAATAATGTCAGATTTTTTTTTCGTCATCTGTGTCCCATTGGGGTGATTTTCCTTCACTTCCTGTCCCACAGCCAAAGAGAAATTGAGAGGAAATCCCTGCAAATTAGGGGAATCCTTAGGGGACCCCCAGGTCACTAAAACTAGTGTCCCTATGGGAATATTTCCCCTCTATTACTTTTTTGGGGACCCAAAATTTGAGATTTCTTTATTTTCACTTTCAATGATAATGGTAAGCAGGACAGATACAGCGGGTGAGTCTCTCCAACGGGGGCACAGACAGCAATAAATGACAGGAGTTCTAATCCCTCTCTACTCCATCCAAAAGTTAAAAAAAAGTCTTGCCTTTAGTTCTACTTATTTGTGCTGTAATTCCTACACTGTCCTGTAGGCTCTGCGCAGCGCTGTGCAAAACTATGACACCAAGGGCATTCAGCCAGGACAGGAAAAGGAGTTGCAACAGCTGACTTGTTTTTGAAGTTAAAACATCCTCATCCTTTTGTCCTGACCTGATACAAACATGCAGCCAATGAAGTCAGAATTCTTCACATGTATATTTGTTTCATGTCGCTAACCCAAAGCTTATACTGTATGCACTCCTAGCCCATAGCATCAGAATGGGAGTGGAAGCAGCCAGAGCTCTCTGTGCATGTCCTTCATTATCCTGCAGAGGGCAGCCCAGAAACCTCAGGTGCTCAGATATGAAAGTTTTAGCCTTTATCCAACCACATTTGTTTTTAAAAACCAAAATAGAACCTGCAAAGTATGGCCAAGTTACAAATACCAAATGGTAGAGTTCCAGATACTTCAGAACAGTGGTCTCTATTGCCTTTATCTGGCCCTTGGGGCACCATTCCTCCCCCTCACACCATCAATGGGCACTATTCCTGTCACTGACACCAATGACAGGGCACCATTCCACCAATTGACACCAATGATGGGTCACTATTCCTCCCATTAACACCAATGATGGGGCATTTTTTCTTTCACTGATGCCATCGATGGGGCACTATTCCTCCCACAGATACTAATGATGAGGCACCTTTCCTTCCACTGACACCAATGAGGGAGCACTATTTCCCCTATTGTAACCTATGATGGGGCACGATTTCTCCCACTGACACCATCAATGGGGCACCATTCCTTTTTACTGACACCATCGATGGGGCTCTATTCCTTCCACTGACAAGAATGCTGGGACAATATTCAACCAACTGATACCATCGATGGGGCACATTTCCTTCCACTGACACCAATGATAGGGTACTATTCCTCCAAATGACACCAATGATGGGGCACTAATCCTCCCATTGACACCAATGATGGGGCACTAATCCTTAAACTGACACCATCAATGGGAAACTATTCTTTTCACTGACACCATGATGGGGCACCTTTCCTTCCACTGACACAATTATTCTTTTCACTGACACCAATGATGGGCACCTTTCCTTCCACTGACACCAATTATAGGGCACTATTCCCCCTATTGAAACCAATGATGGGGAACTAATTCTCCCACTGACACCATCGATGGGGCATAAATTCCTTTCACAGACACTGACGATGGGGCTCTATTCATTCCACTGACACCACTGCTGGGACACTATTCCTCCAACTGATGCTATCGATGGGGCACCTTTGTTTCCACTGACACCAATGATAGGGCACTATTCCTCCCATTGACACCAATGATGGGGCACTAATCCTTCCATTGACACCAATGATGGGACACTAATCCTTCCATTGACACCAATGATGGGGCACTAATCCTTCCATTGACACCAATGATGGGGCACTAATCCTTCCATTGACACCAATGATGGGGCACTAATCCTTCCATTGACACCAATGATGGGGCACTAATCCTTACAACATCAATGGGGCACTATTCTTTTCACTGACACCACTGATGGGAAACTATTCCTTCCACCGACACCAATGATGAGACATTATTCCTTCCACTGACACCAATGATGGGGCACCATTCCTTCCACTGACACCAATGATGGAGCACTATTCCTTCAATTGATGCTGTTAAAGGGGCCAATATTTCTCTTCCCACTGACAACAGATATTATGTAATTTATTTTCTGGCCCACACTTAATAAAAGGCCCAGCAAAGTCTTGTCATCAGGCTGTCCACACATGGGTGTTCCAACAGCAAAACAAATGATAAAAAAAACTGCTAAGCCACCTGGCTCTCCTCAGCAGCACCGATGTTCTCGTCTCTGGTCTCCTGACCACGGGCTCTTCAGGCTCACTCAGCCTTAGTTCCAGCACCTCGCTGCATGGGCTCACTCCTGGTCTCTAGACAAGGTTCTCCCAGCACCCCAGGCTCTCTCACTCTTCTGAAACTTGCAGACCATCTCCGATTCCCTGGACTCACTAGCTGTCTCGGCTCTCTCAGTCCTGCCGACTCATTCAGCCATCCCACCTCTCCTGGTATTGCAGGTAAGGAACCTCTCCCACATGGAGTTCTGTCCCCTGAGTGGTTCATCTCTTCTGGCTGGAGCATATCTCTGAACAAAGGCATCTGTCTCCACCCTGAGCTGTGGCCAGCTCCTGGCTCATGACCACCCTGCACACCTCCATACTCACACAACCTGCAGGTCTCCAGTAGAAGAACTGGACACAGGATTAAAGGCTTCATCTCATACAAGCCACTCTGAAGCCTTCAAGTTCCAGGTCCTGATTTAGGATTGCAAAACTCAAAGCTGTAAACACTTTGGAGCCCCTCACTCTGCATAACGCATG